TACATAAAGGGGAGAGAGAGAGAGAGATTAAAATTACATAAAGGGGAGAGAGAGAGAGAGATCTCATAAAAAAAAAAGTTCGTTTTATTAGTTAGTTGCACGATAACAAAAAATAATTAATAATAAAACATGGCGTTTTGTGCATAAAAAAAAAAAATAAAAAATCCCCATCGGGGATTTTTTGTTGAAAACATTTAAGCAAGCAATTAAAACATACCTATCTCACCTCATGGATATCAATCCCATGATTAAGAGACCACATTGTTTGAAAATAATCTTGCATTCTTCCTTTGAGTTCTTTTGGAATTTGATGAAGTGTTAAAAAATCTTTTAAATCCCGCCATTTCGATTGATAAAGTGATCTTCTGGAATACATTCTTTGTATGATGGCTGTGACGTTACCGAAAACAACGGCGTGCATCAATGCTGAAACGATAAATTTAAAATTTTTTATTTTATTTTACATACATATGCACCTAATTATTACACACACACTCCCCCTGGCGCCGCCGCATACCTCCTATAAGCATAATGCATATGCTAAATATTTTTTCGACCATTGTATTTGCGGATACGTTACCAAAACCAACGCTCGTCAAACTCGAACATGTAAAATACAAAGCCGTAACGTAATATTCGGCTTGCGTCACGTTATTAACGGCTAATTTTAATCTATCGGCAAGGGAATGAAGCCAACCTGTACAAAAGTAAACAAACAAAATTATTATTATTAATATTAAAAAAAAAAATTGAATTAATTAAATAATCGACTCACCCAATTCCCAATCGATACCATTTCTTGATTTTTCTTTTTCCGCAATTAAAAACCATATGCATGCCAACCAATGAGCTACCAGGGTAAATATAAACATGAGCAATGTAAGTATCATGGCGCTATATTGTGAATACCTGTCCATTTTTTGCAAAAGTCTTGCCAATCTTAAAAGTCTTGTTAATTTTAATAAATGCATTTGTCCCGTTTGACTGTGTATTTCCGAATTTTCGTTGTCGTACGGATCGGAAGACGCATATAAAACGAGATCAAACGGAAGTGCGGCAAGGAGGTCGACGGTGAACCAGGTTTTTAAATAATTATAAGCGATGGATTTAAAATTGGATACGACTTCGCCTTTTTTACTCACGTAAGTTGTACGAAAATTTAATATTATGTCTGAAAGACAAAAAAAAAATGTCCTAAACGTTCCTAAAACAACAACAAAATAGCGTTCTCTCGGTTTTTACCTATAATAAAAAGCGTTTCGACGACAATGTCGCCAACCATCGAAGGCCTTTCTGTCGTGACAAAACTTGCATTATATGGAACAACAATGGCGACGTAAAAAGTTGCTATCAACATGAGCCAATCCCAACACGTTTTAAAAACTCCATAATGTGATAATATAAATCTTGATTTTTTAAGAGCGGAAGTTTTATATTCTGGAAGAGGTGCGTTGGTGGGTTGTAAAAGCGTCTGGAAAATACAATACGATTTATTATTTTTTCTTTTTGGAAAAAACGGATACGGAAGTACAGAACAAAAGTTAGATAGAGTATATATAAATTTTTTATTTAACGTCAGAATATCTTCAATGTCTTTTTTTTTTTTTTTGAAAAGTCATCACTGAAAAAGTGTCAACCATTTCAAAAAAAAGAAAAATAAAATGTCAAAAGTCATTTTGTCGCGTTACGTTTTTTCTTTTTCCTTTTCCCCCTTTTTTTTTTTTTAAATAAAAATCGAAAAAAAAGAGAGAGAGAGAGAGAGGGAAAAGTTTTTTAATAATGTTTATAAAAAAAAACAAAAACTTACATTGTTTAATTTAAGTTTTGTTTTTATTTTATCTTGTTTGTAGTGACCGCTAAGTTGGTAAAGAACTGCCCGACTTCTTCTCCTTTCGTAATTTGCCGGTGGTACTTCTTGATCTAAATCTCCATTTAAATCTACCGAAAAAAAAAACAAAAATTTTTGCATGATAATAATAATAATACCTAAAAAGGATTAACAAAAAATAAATAATTTCTTTTCCATAAATTTTAATAAATGAATAAAGAAGTTTTGGTTTAATTTAAAAAAAAAAAAAAAAACAAACAAAATTAATTATAACCGAAATTAATTAACCCTCGAAAAGTTTTAAATAATAATAATAATAATAATAATAAATAAAATTTATGTTTGTTTTTTAAACGAATAAACGAAAACGGAGGGAGAGGAGGGAAGGAGAGGGGAAGAGGAAAGAGGAAGGCGAAAGGAGGGAGACGTAGAATAAAAAAAAAAAATTTTTTTCTTTTCTATTATAAGAAAATCAAATGATTATAAATTGATTTATATTTTATGACGTCATTTCCGTTATAAGTTAAGGTAAAAA